ATTTTATGAACAGAACAATTTTTTCGAATAGGTAGTAAACCTTCATTAGATTTTTATCTTATATCTCTTTTTATATTATTAGCAAGTTTGGTTAGTTATGTTAGTTTATGACGGTTAGGTTTTATATTTTTTTTCCATTTTTTTACTCTCATTTCGTCCACAATGAAACCGCAGTATTAGCTGAAATAAAAATTGTGCGGCCGTGAGAGCGTGGAACATAGATCAAACATGCCTGATGTACTTCATAAGCTCTATCCAACCCTCAACAACATGAAATAGCAGCTGTTCTTGTTCTATACTTTCAGATACTCCCAATTCCCATGCAAAATAAACTTGACACAAAGACTTTTTTTTAGGAAAGGGAAGGATGCCGCTACAGTCGAAGAGAATCGGGCCTATGGAGATGTCAGCGAAGATATAAACACTTTTCAACAATCACTAGGCCTATACATTGAGCCTACAGTTATTAATTTTTAAATCTTGAAAGTGATTTACTTTTGTTTACAGATTTGATATATTATAAGAATATTTTGTTCGCTTGGTTTTTTGGTCTCTTTTGTGATTTAACCTTCTATAAAAAATGTATATTTTGGGCTTTGTGAAAGAATAAACAATATATTTTTAAATTGTGACGTTATTTTTTACCTTTTTCTTGAAATAAATATACATAACTTATGTCAACAATATTCCACAGAAATACTTTTTGCAGATTTTATGAAATAGCATAGCCTACTGTTATTCAAGAATAAAATAATATATTAGTAATAGTTTTGTCAGTCAATAGAGTATTACCTAAAATGAGTTTTTTTTGACATTTTTGTTATGCATTTATGCAGGCCGAAGTATTTTGAATACTTAGATTGTTTAACAATTATTTTGTGATTTTTTAAAAATATTAGCTTAATATTGACAGGATAATACAGACGATACAAAAATACTTTAACAATGTTGTAAAAACAATAATCAAAATACTGTTAATGTTAACAAAATATTGTTAATTGTTTATTTCTACATTTTTTTCAAAATTGTCTTAATATTGGCTTAATATTTCCATATAACATTGAAACAACGTTGAAAAATATTAAGACAACATTGTCAAGACAATGTATTTTGTTTCACGAAAACGTTGTAACAATATTGTTACCACATTGATCAATATTTGGGCAATATTGAATGAATGTTGTTTAAATGTTGAAAACAACATTGAAACAACGTTGAAAAATATTAAGACAACATTGTCAAGACAATGTATTTTGTTTCACGAAAACGTTGTAACAATATTGTTACCACATTGATCAATATTTGGGCAATATTGAATGAATGTTGTTTAAATGTTGAAAACAACATTGAAACAACGTTGAAAAATATTAGGACAACATTGTCAAGACAATGTATTTTGTTTCACGAAAACGTTGTAACAATATTGTTACCACGTTGATCAATATTGGGGCAATATTGAATGAATGTTGTTTAAATGTTGAAAACAACATTGAAACAACGTTGAAAAATATTAGGACAACATTGTCAAGACAATGTATTTTGTTTCACGAAAACGTTGTAACAATATTGTTACCACGTTGATCAATATTGGGGCAATATTAAATTAATGTTGATTAAATGTTAACAACAACATTGAAACAACATTGTTATGCTACTTGGGACCCTGTTGGTAATCCTTGTAACTTTAATGCTATTGAACATCATAGAACAGAACCAACTTGTTTAATTGAAACAGCTGTTAAGATTCATTAATTCCATTTCTCATAAGGTTAACATGGGAAACTCCAGAGCCACTGGGGCGGAGCCCTTTTAAGAATTTCGAAACGGGAAATAGTTTACGTCCGATTCGCATACCTACAGAATTTACACACCAAATTTCATAACGATCGGTGAAGTCGTTCCGGAGGAGTTTGCAGACAAACACTGTGACACGAGAATTTTATATATTAGAAGATTACTGGTTATTGTAACTCCGCAACATTAATTATACAATAACAATAAACATAATCTCAATTAACCAAACCAAACCGTTCCGATTCCGATTCCGCTGTCCCGGATGCGGTGGTGGGGGGTCCCGAATCCTGTTTGAAATTTGAATGGAGTCGTTTGCAACCTTGCATTGCAAGTAGTGTTGGGATATCGAAAGAAAATATCGATATTTATATCGACGATAATATCGGAGCCTCAATATCGATATTCCGATAATATCGGACCAAAAATATCGATATATCGGAAAAATATCGTTAAAAATTAATGGAATTGGAATGCTATCGCAAAGCATCCCTTTAACAGGAAATTACCTTAACAAACAATAAAAAAAAAATTGAAATGAAACTATTTTAAACTACCTATCCTAACCAACCAATAAAGCTTGCTGTATTATTTCAAAATTTTGTTTGCTAGCCTAAGTTATTCCCCATATGCATTTTCTGTAATCAAACGGAATTTTTAAACGGTAACTTAGCCTACAGTAAGTTTGGTTGGTTTTGGTTTTGTTAGGTTGAATAGTTTATTTTCCTAATCCAGATATAGGCTATTATTTTTGCCTAAACAAGGTTAGTTCTTAATTTGTTTTTAAATGCGTTTGAAGATATTAAAACAAAGGAATATATACAGATGGTTTGGTAAAAAAAAATATCGATATGTCATCAAAAGAAATCATTGATATAAAAATGTCCCTTTAGCAGGAAAGTACCTTTGTTAATACTGAACAATATTTATTTAGCCTATCCTTATCGAAGTTGTCAGCTGATATGTTTTAATTTGTTATAATCAATATATCGGATAGAAAAATAAAATATCGATATTCAAAAAGAAATAATCGATAATAATGAATGTTCCCTTTAACAGGAAAGTACCACCATGAACAGTTAGCTGCACACATATGACGTTAAATCGTTTACAATTTATATTTTTTTAGGCTTGTGTACAAAAAAATATACAACAAATGAGAATTTAATGGTTTTGATTGGTTTTCACTGCCGTCACGTCATTTTGGCACTCCACTTCTGCCAACCGTGCCAACTCACTATTCAAATGCAGGCAGAGGCAACCAGATTAAAAATATATTTTCAACTAGATAGGTACATGAAATAGTTTGTGTGTACAAATAAATTTGTTATTAATAATATTTAATAACTGCTAAACAAGTTCAGAAAAGATTAAACTGTATTCATTCTTGCATTATTCTTTGAAAAATTGCTAAAATCAATTCTAACGATAATATCGAAGTAAAATATCGATATCCCGATAATATCGGAAGTCTAATATCGATATAAAAATATCGATATATCGGAACCAAAATATCGATATTTCCGATATATCGGATATCGATACCAAACACTAATTGCAAGTGCAAGTGACAAGTGTGGTCTCGACTCTCGACTCTGGCTCTGCTCTGAGTTGAGTTTGAGTTTGTACTGTTTGGAACAACTCTAAAAATCAACTTTTTTAATCTATTGTTAAAGTTAGCTCAACCTCAACTATAAGGTAAAAACAATTCTTATCATAATAATATGATTAAGTTATTGAGATAATACTGACTAAAGCCTAGTCCGTACTTGGCGATTTGCCGGATGTTTGGCCAACCGTCTCGTAGTCCTAGTGTTGCCTCTTGTAACTAGCCTATCTTGCGATAGCCATATCTCCAGATGATCGATCGGCAGATTTGATTTCTGATGAGAAAATTCAGTTTTTTTCTGTTTCCCATACATGGGTAACATGAGACAAGATAAACTTAGGCCCTAGGAGGCAGGAGATCTGATATAGGCTAGGCTAACACAGGCACAATGCGGGTTTTAGCCATGAACCCACTGGTGGTAGGGATGGGCTTCATAGGTAGCCTAATTTGACAAACTTGTTCCAGTCAGTCAAGGTCTATGAGAGTACCTACCTACGTACATTGACTAGCCTAGTTACTTTGCACCTATCGGTACAGGACCTGAGGCGGTAATTATTCCGACGTGACTAGTAGCAAAAGTGGAATTTTTTTTCCATCATGATATAAGTTTCATGTTGAATCCGAAAATGACGTTTTTATTTTTCGGAAAAGGCCGGAAATTACCGAAAAAAATTTTTTTAGCCTACTCAAAATACATAACACCCACCGGAGATAGGACGAAAAAACTGAATAATAGGTTAGGTTAGGTTAGCTTATGCTAGGTTAGATTGAGTTAGGTTAGGTTGGGTTAGGTTAGGTTGTTACCTACCTACCTAACCTTACCTAACCTAACCTAACCAAAAACCTATCCTAACCTAACATAACATTACCTAACCAAGCTTAACCTAACCTAAACGATTATTCCGTTTTTTCGTCCTATCTCCGGTGTTTTTCATATGTGTCAAAAAAGTCTTGCATATTAAAATATTAATCTAACTTACACAATATTCCGCATATTTTGAGTAGGTACCCACATAGGTAACGTATTTTGAGTAAAAAAATTTTTTTCTTTTTTTTTTGGTGATTTCCGGTCTTTTCCAAAAATGAAAAACGTCATTTTGGATTCAGCGTGAAATTTAGGTCATTATGGAAAAAAACATTTTCACTTTTGTGACTAGTCACGACGTCGAAATAATTTAACTTACCCCTGAGGCAGTGACTGCCAGCGCCCGGACACGGCATTTTTGCCACGCTGGATCGGTACACAATAGAAAACATACTAACTTAGTCTTTTAAATCTTTTTTGAACCTAGAGCGCTGCATTTAAAAACGGTGTCATTTATAGTTTTAATTTCAGACAAATAATTTCCTAATTATAACTTAGTAGGCTAGGCCTATAAAGCTTAGTTATTTATTGTTCTATTACATGGCTTTAAAATAAGATGAAATAGCTCATAATTAAATTAACTGGTTTAAAAAAATAAGTTTGTATTTTAAACTAAACTAGGCTAGGCCTAATTATCCATAAAATAAAATAGGTATAGACTTTTTCCCCATTTTCTAACGTCCATCAACACGTACGTAGTACACACGGTCAAGTCAAGAAGTCAAGTAACGATGATCCGACGACCGACAGGTACAGGTAGGTACACGTACATGGACATGGAACTGAAGTAGACACCTAGACCTAGACACTGACTAATAACAAAGACAAAGGGTAAGGGTTCAAGGGTCAAGGGATGGGACAGATTGACAGAATAGGTACTGGCTAGTATAACGAGGGTATACTAGCAGTATACTAGATGTTCTAATTTCTATTTTAGAGCATTCTTAAAAATCTTGGGTTTGTTTTAGTGCAATATAATTTGTTTGAATTTTTATTTATTTATTTATTTGTACCTGGCAGAATTAACAGCTGGATGGATATAAAACTATTCTGTAGAACTATAATAACACTTGCTGAGTACCCTTCCTTCGTACGTGTTGGTATACAATACAATGCTTACTGTACTCAAAATATGTTTAATGAAATACTCGCGCTTTGCATTTGCAATGAGAGAGGACACATTTTGAGAAAATTTGGTTTACTATAATCTACGGTAGCCTATACTATAGAACCATCTACCATAGCCATAATGTTCTACCACTTCACCTAAACAATAGAAAGAAGTAAAGTTCTCACACTCAGGTTTTTATTGCCGCTTGGTTCAAATTAGATGTTGTCACAAATGTTTAAAGAACTAATGGTGCTGCACCCTGTTGGTAAACCGTATTATCTTTTAATGCTATTGAATATCATAGAAACAAATTGTGTAGTTAAAACAACTGGCAAAATTATTTAATTCCTTTTAAATATGAATAGGCCTACTCATAAGGTTAACATGGGAAACTCTAGAGCCGCTGGGGCGGAGCCCGAAAGGATTTTTGAGATAAGAATATGTCTATATGTTAATCGGGAATGTGATTATATTTCTTAAGTAGGTAGGCCATGTATTCTATGGAAAAGTACCGGTATTAAGGATCGTCGTCGAAAAGGTTGTTATGAATAAATATGTAGGCTTAAACGTACCCAAGATATGAGCTATGGGCCTATTGGCTGTATGGTCCAGCGATTGCATCACACGGTGAGTAGCAACAGAAAGTGGCACATTGGAAAAGCGAGTTTAGCATCATCCGTAAACCTCTGTTTCAATCACCCACTGCAGTTGTGATTTTTTTACTTTACACTTTACACAATCGCCATTGAAGCGCCGTCAATGAGTGGAAACCTTGTTTGTAAGCTATCGGCGACGATCATTAAGTGTCCCAGCCACATACAACACTGATTCAAGGTTTTTTTTCTGGTTGTCAAAACTCAAGAACAATTTTATACACAAAGAACTTCTGGTTCCTGACCTGGATGATGCCTAGTTATTTAATTTCATTTACGGTTACACTATGATATTGCACTTGCGATTAATTAAATCCGTTATGTAAAAAAAACGTTTTTAATCTCACTTTGGGATTTGCACTTTGGGTTGGGATTTTCTTTCAAAACGTCACTCGAAATGGTTGCGGTATTTGTAAACATATCAGTGACAGCTAGAAAAAATAATCTTGATCCGAACAGCTGTTCGTTATTTCATAGACGATTATGTGATAAAAATTTAACGAAAATTTGACAAAAATCGCACAAAACTGCATTTTTGAACGTCCGTAATTTTATTTACAAAGTAGTGAGGCCACATTTTAATGGTTAAAGACACTCTCGCCAATCCAGTGAATACATAAAATGACTTGGATCTTGATAGGTACTCTCGTTTTCACGGAGAAGATTGCGTAAAATGCCATCTTGAGTGTTACAGACAGAAATAGAGATAAGACTCGTTTCTGCTTCTTTAATGTATAAAACGTAAAAATAACCTAAAAATATATAATTCTGAGCAATGTACAGACAAAACTTTAATTTTATTTATATAGATAGAAATTTGAAAAATATAAGGTGTTTTTGGCCTCTGTGGGACATAAAAATAAAATAAAAATAAGTAGGCTAATTCAGTCTAAGGTGTAAGTCTTTCCTAACCACATAAATGATAATTAACTTTCTTCTTTAATAGAGAAATTTGCTAAAAGGTGGAAAATTGCCCCATTTGATTACCGTACTAGACAAAAAGAACAAAGATTGTGGCTCTTTGAGGGGAAAGATAAAAAATCTGTTTACTTAGACATGTTGGCATTGTAATAAGCCATATCAGTGATTGCTGTATTTGAAATGGAGTTTCATGAAACCACTTGGGATGTCTTAAAAACGTGACAAGCCTAATTGTACTGTCTTTTTGTTTTATCGACTGTGTTTGATTTCTTCTTTATTTACAGAATGGCTGAACAAAACTCACCTGAGCCACCAGAATTTATCCAGTTTCTATTCTCGGATAAACCAAAGTTTGATTGTTTTTTCATTGTCGGAGAAGAGAGTTTGGTCAAACCTGTAAGTATACATATGAAATGAAATCAACTGTATTCATAATTTGCAAACATGTGCACGAAAGTCGTCATTACATTGGATCAAAATCATAATACTTAATCCTAAAAGAGTACAAGACATAATCACTAGCTTATTGAAAACGTTCTTATTCTAATGTAGAAGGAAATATTCATTCTTTGAGTACAGGGGTTTAGTTAAATAGTTATTTGTGTAACTAGTGGTGAAAGTGGCACTTTGCTGCACACGAGAGCAATGTTTACACATGAGCCGCAGGCGAGTGCGGAATGATCTCGAGTGCAGCAAAGGCCTTTTTTACTCGTGTTACACATTATATTTTTCCTACAGTCACTATAAAGCATATAAATAATTAGTCTTTCAAACAGTCTACAACACGTTTTTAGGTTCAGCTGGCAACACAAATGGTGCCCTAGAGAAAGTAGTACCCGCGGTCCGTATCACTCCGCTATTTTTTCTCGGCAAGAAATGTGCTCCGCGTTTTGAGAATATAGTTCCGTATGTTTTTGTAATTTGAAGTGGTTTCCGCGCCTAAAAAAATTGCTTTAAAGGTATTTTCTTGTTTATTAAGATCGTAGGAATGTTTTAAAAACGTTTAAAAGAAAAGTCCAGAAAGTTCAGAAATACCGAAACTATAAACACAAAATGACAGGTTAAATCGTAGTTATAATAGTAATCAGCTGCTCATAGTATTATTATCTTTAAGTGTTGCCAACCTATTTCCAAGCGTACACGGATTACGTGCATAATAGAACCACGCTGTTTTGTGTTGTTTCGTTGGAATCCTGATGTGCGGCAAAGTATAAACCGTACGACAAAGTATAAACAGTACGGCAAAGTATAAATATGCAGCAATTAGCAGCTTTCTGTACTATAAACAGTACAAGGAAGCCAACTTTGTCGGGTGACTGTAGGAAAAAGTACATTTTTAGCTTATTTTTAAATTTTGTAGTTGTTGTATCTAGTCCTTTAATTTTGTTGGAAGAGCATTGTAACATTTTATACCCATATACATTGGTTGTTTTTTTTTTCAAAAAATCTTAATCTATGGGAAGATGTTGCGTAGTTATTTCTGTTTCTGGTACAGTATTGATGAGAATCCCCTACCAGTGAGACATTATTTGAATTTTGACAGTATATAATATACATTGATAGATATAATAGCTATATATAGTCATTATGCCTAGTTCTTCAAATTTTTCCTTAACAGAATCTTGCCAATCCAAATTTAACATAATGCGGATTGCTCATTTCTGGAGAATTAAAATTCTGTCTAAATTAGCTTGTGATGTTCCTCCATAAATACTTATACCAAAGGATAAATGTGAGTGAATATGAGCAAAATAAACCAATTTTAGTGATTCAAGTTTACAAAATTTTGATAATCGATAAAGTGCAAATAGGCCTGTTGACATTCGATTTGCCACATGATCAATATGATCATTCCAGCTTAATTTACTGTCTATGTATAGCCCTCCCGAGTGTTATTTGTCGATGCTTCGACACATAACACACTTGGTGTAGTGTTTTGTGTCGATGCATCGACTCACAAACACTGTTTACGGCGACGGCTCTGGGACTGACTGAATCGGATTGAACTGGATTGAGTTGGGTATCGTTTTTTTCAGCAGATTAAGAGCTTTCTCCGGAGGTCTGTCTCTAAGCGCATTTCATTTTAGTTCCGAAAATATTGTAGCAGACAGCTGACGTGCGTATTTGTAAAGAGCTTGGTTAACCTCGGACCGATGACTGATGTGTTTTATTACGTTTATCATTGTTTTAGTATTAAAAATCAAAAGTAGTGATATACGTGGTGCATTATAAGAAGATTTAAGTGATTTTGAAGGGCTGGTTGATGATCCTGAAGAAGTAGGTAGTGATATTGATGTAAATTATCAGCCAGATTCCTAGCTATGGTTAGGCTATGCATTCTTAGCTAAACGCTATATACTGAAATCTGTTTTTTGCCCATAACTTATTTATTTGCAAATCTACTTCCTTATATTATTATATTTTTGTAATCCTCATAAAATTTTGAACAAAGTCGCTATTTTCAAATATTTATAGGCCTATAATTTATACAATTTCATTAAGAGCGCAAACTTTTTTTTTTTAATTTTCCAAAATATTTTTTTTTTTTTAATTTTTTTTTGAAACAAATGTTCCTTATGTTTTATGTATAATATTGAAGCCCATGATTTTCCAAACAAAATGGTATATAGAACAGTATAATTAAAATTGTTTTCAAGCTTCTCAGATCCGTTTTAATAAAACCTTGCAAATGAGCAAAAAATAGGCAGACATTGGCACAAGGGACACTCGGAGGGTTAACCCTAGAAATTTAGTGTTCACTATAATTTCTATATCTTCACCGGCTAATTTTAGTGTTGGGTAATCTGAGTTGGTATTCGTTTTTAGATTAAAGCGTGTAAAATTAGTTTTGGAAAGATTTAGTAATAGCTGATGATCTGAAAAAAATTTATTGATGTTCATCAAGTTATCGATGGCAGATGTTTCTATCTCATGAACAGATTTTCCGCTTACAAGAAGAATAGAATCATCGGCATATAAACAGATGGTATTTCTTGTTGAATTTGAAATAACATTGGGTAATCCATTGATATATGTAAGAAATAGTAGAGGACCCAAAATAGAACCCTGTGGTACACCATGTTTAATTGTTCTCAACTGTGATCTTGTTGTAACCATCTGGTTGTGATTGTTTAAGTGTCTATTTTCTACAAACTGTTTCCTATTAGTTAAATATGATTGAAACCATTTTAGTGAAATTCCTACAACCCCTAGTCCTTCCAATTTTTTAAATAAATTATGATGAGATACACTGTCAAATGCTTTGCTTAGGTCCATAAATATTCCAATTACTTTATCTCCCCTATCTACTGAATCAATAAATTTATCTGGAAATATGCCGGATATAAATCATGAATTACTAAGTGTGCAAATGTTTTTATAACCCTCCGAGTGTTATTTGTCGCTGCAGCGACACATAACACACTTTGTGTAGTGTTTTGTGTCGCTGCAGCGACTCACAAACACTGTTTACGGCGAAGGCTCTATGACTGACAAAATCGGATTGAACTGGATCGAGTTAGGTATCGTTTTATTTGACAGATTCAGAGCTTTCTCCAGAGGTCTGTCTCTAAGCGCATTTCATTTTAGTTCCGAAAATATTGTAGCACACAGCTGACGTGCGTATTTGTAAAGAGCTTGGTTAACCTCGGACCGATGACTGATGTGTTTTATTACGTTTATCATTGTTTTAGTGTTAAAAATCAAAAGTAGTGATATACGTGGTGCATTATAAGATTTAAGTGATTTTGAAGGGCTGGTTGATGATCCTGAAGAAGTAGGTAGTGATATTGATGTAAATTATCAGCCAGATTCCTAGCTATGGTTAGGCTATGCATTCTTAGCTAAACGCTATGTACTGAAATCTGTTTTTTGCCCATAACTTATTTATTTGCAAATCTACTTCCTTATATTATTATATATTTGTAATCCTCATAAAATTTAGAACAACGTGGCTATTTTCAAATATTTATAAGGTAGGCGTATAATTTATACAATTTCATTGAGCGCAAACTTATTATTTTTTTGAAAATTTTCCAAAATATTTTTTTTTACCTAAAAATTTTTTTTGAAACAAATGTTCCTTATGTTTTATGTATAATATTGAAGCCCATGATTTTCCAAACAAAATGGTATATAGAACAATATAATTAACATTGTTTTCAAGCTTCTCAGATCCGTTTTAATAAAACCTTGCAAATGAGCAAAAAATAGGCAGACATTAAGGCCAAAACAAGGGACACTCGGAGGGTTAAGTGAACTCTGGGCATGCTTTATTACTGTTATGGGAACATTGTTGAAGCCTGAAGATAGTTTATTATCAAATTTGGAAATTATTTTACTGATATCTGTCTCACTGATTGGTTCACATCTAAATTTATTTTGTTTGTTATTTATTACTAAATTAGGTACTGATAAATTTTGTGTATTTATTTTTACACATCAGAATCAACTACATTGACATAAAAATCATTAAAAGGGTTACATATAACAATAGGGTCATTATATACTTTTGAATTTACCTCTATTTCCTATGCTCTTCACAACCTTTTTTTATTTTTTATATTTAAATTAATTAAATTCCAAGTTGTCTTGGATACATTCCCTCAGCTCAAAATTTTTTCATCCATATAACTTTAGCTTTGAAAATATTTTTCATAAATGCTTTGTTCATTTCTTTAGCTGAATTCACTAAATATTCATTTTTTTTTGTTATTCTCCCTAATGTGCCTTTTTCTATAATTTTGTTCCTCTCGGTTTCTAGCTCATGATTATTCCAAGGGACTTTTTGATCAGTATCCCTACATTTAGTGATAGGAAAGCACATATCAAAGTAATACATAAAAATACTGTTGAAGATGTTAAATTTCAACTCAACTGGTGCAAAGTAGACCTCCTCCCAACATTCCCGACTCAGCATATTTGAGAATTTTTTAAGATTTTGGTTAGAAAATATCCTTACTGTTTTAGTTATTGGTTTATTGTTCATATTTTTATCAGGCAAGTTGAAGGTTAATAATTGAGCATCGTGATCAGAAGTTTGTGTGTTTAAACCACTAATTTGCATGTTGTTAGGATAAAAATTAATGAAAACGTTATCAATAGCACTCTCAGTCTTTTCAGTTACTCTAGTTGGAAAATTTACTAAAAATTCAAAATTATGTGAGCCAAGAATATCATTAAGTAGTTTAAACTCATTACAGTTTGGGTTTAGAACATTTATGTTAACGTCTCCAATCATAATTACATTAGTGTATGTTTTTGAGAGGATTTCCAGGGATGCATTTAGTTTTCCCAAAAAGATATAAACATCAGAGATAGGAGAGCGATAAACACTATTTAGTACAAAAGAAAATGAATCACATTTAAATTCTATCAAACAGCATTCAAATTCCTTT